CTGGCGTTACAACCCTTTGTGGGTTACTCTATGGTTTTACAATCAGTCACCCGTGCTGTGACACGGCCGATGGGTCGTCTCGAAGGGGTTGCCTCATTTCGAAAAGCGGATTACTCGCCGTCCCGCTCATCTTTTTGGTTTTCGCCTCACGCCGAGCCGACTCTGTCTCTCTCTTTCCCTCTTTCTCTCTTTCTCTCTCACCCTCTCTTGTTCTTCTTTCTCTCATCTCTCAATATCGACGGCTTTCTCACTCGACGGCTGCCGTTTCTCGTGTGATCGATGAGTCCGACTCAAACTGATCGTTCCCTTCTTCTGACGATCGAGCACCCTCTTTCCTCGTTCTTCGATCGTCGCGACACGGATTCGCGCGTTTTCCTACATGCCGTTACGATTTTCGCTCGTCATTGTTTACACGCAACCCCTGCCAACGAAAGGCGCCAGTCCTCGAAGGGGTAAAAATTCCGCCTCTGAAAATGTGGTGGCCTTGGGAGTAACTTGGAATAAATTTCGGAGAAATTTAACAATAGTGGTAATCCCTATTAACGTAAAAAAAAAAGCTTTTTATTTAGTACACATGACAGAATAAAATTATAGATCGACAGACAAGTAAAGAAATAGAGAAAAACAAGAGAAACATCTTAAGTAAATTATCTTAAGGTGAATGAATCATAAAACAAATTTCGTAGGAATTTGATGAAGCTATGCACAATGAAATATTATCTAATATCTATGTTCGCGCGTGTAATTAAAAAAAAATTAGCCATTTGAGAGCTGAGATATTTGCAACTAAAGTTGACACTTTTCTTGACGTGTTCTTTGAAGCCAACACGTGTTTTTCACTTTTATTTTTAATATCTTCTAAATTATATGCGAAATTTTGATAAAAAATTACTGTGATATTAAAGACTGATATACAGACGTTATATACAAATTTCAGAATTACTAACCATGTTGTTTTCAAAGTACAACGGTGGAAAGCTCATAATTCATAATAATACTCGAAATATGTATACATATATTTAAATATTTATATGCCTCTTTTTATCGTCTCTATTAAATAAACTGATGCATAAATAAAGCATTCGTCTGAAAATAAAAAAATAATCAATTTCTCGCATTTGTAATATTGTATACATTTACCTCAATTTCGTTTCAAATTTACAGTGATAGAAAGTGAAATAAATCTACAGTAATTTTCTTTGATAAGTAGTACATTTATGAGCATCACTAAAAATATAGCGTTTAACAATAAAACTAGTGTATGTGTGTATATATAAATATAATTTATTAAAATGTTTCCAATTATAAAATAATTTTAATAACACGAATTGAAAGATATATGAAGTTTATTTCATATACAAAATTACATACATATTATTTTCAATACAAAAATTGATAAATCATGATCGTTTCATCGCCGCCTCCAGCAATACAAGCGCAGCTTCCAGGTCATTCCTGGGGCAGCCGGGAAATCAATCGGCGAGCGCCGCTCTTTCGTCGGTAAGACACGACGCGACACGACAGACGCAATTTCTCGATATGTCGGGATATATTTGATGCGGAATACTATTCCGTACCTCGAATGTGTCTCGCACTTCCCCCTCTCGTGACGCGCGCGCACTGCAAAGGTGCCCCCCGGCTTTTTTGCCAGTATGAATGATGATGTATGGATGCTGGCTGGGCACCGGGGGCTCGGTAAAGGGTTCCATTGTTGCGCCTTCCCCTGGAGAACGGAACCCACTCGCCCCGCAGGGGAGAGACCTTCGTGAAATATTACTGCCGAGCAACAAACTGCATTCTGCTGGCTGTATACTGTTAATTTTATGCCCGATTTTTTGCCCACTCCATCTAGACTGCCCTCTCGCGCCGCGGACCCACCGACAGCCGCCCCTCAATGTTGCTACATCGACGAGAGCTCGTGATTCGAAGTGTGTCGATATTATAATAATAAATATTCATCGGATAATTCTTGGACATCATACGAGCGAGTCGGAGGCGCGAGATCGCCTCTGTTCTACAAGCGAATTTATTTCTTAAAGTTCACCGCTCGGCGAATTTTCAATTTCCTTGTCACAGTTTCATAAATACTGATGTGTACATGATGTTTGTTTGTATGTTCTGTCATGACTCGAGAACCGTTAGACTTTCGTATGATCTGAAAATTGGGTAAGTCCTTTACTTTCTTGAAAATCTGAGAACATCTAGAGATCAAGACGAAACTTGTACTTTTAATCGATTTAAAAAATAAACTTTTAATAAATAATTAAATAGTACGAAATATATATAAAACATATCTAATAAAAATAAACAATTAATATAAGAGACATGAGATTATTGACTCTCAATCAGTCAGGTTTTTGTGCTGTCTTCTAATATCGTTAGAATATTAGAATAGGATAATGTAAACACATAAATATATTAAAATAAAATTATTTCATACTATTTGGACCCTTTAAAGTTTTTAAAGGCAATTTTGAGATACTTAATTAACGATAAAGGTAACTGTAAGAATTCTATAAGAATACAGCTCTAGTTCGCAAATCTTCTCGTACAAGGAATTCGCACGAGAGAAATGCAATAATTATTACACGCCTCGATTGATTATTGCACGTCATATGAGAAGAATACTTCGCGATATGAGGGAACAATGCGAGATAACAATTAGTAGGTCCCTCGATAATCGGATGCACCGCGAACGCGCTGCCCGCACTCTATGCAAATTCGATCGGACACGGTTTTAGAAATTCGCCTTGGCCCTTCTCGTGCGCCAACAATGCCCTTCAAGTCTGCCGACAATGGGAAATAATAAACCGTGATAAATAGCTGAGCAAATACGCGCGCGGTACGATCACGGAGCTGAACTTATACCGCGTCTCTCTCGTTCTCTCTCCTTTCTCTCCCTCTCTCCCTCCCCCCTCTTTCGCTCGCTCTCTTCGCATCGGTTCCAGGTGCTGCCGCTCGAATTCCAAAATAAATACCCCCAGCAAATACCCGACCCGTGTATTTGCCTGTCCGGAAAAACAAACATTCTCTATTAATTTCCCAGCTTTACGCGAGAACAACCGGTTTCGATTTATTGAAACGACGAGCATAATGTCGCGAAATTTATATAAGAATCACGTAGATTGTCAAGTTCAAATTGAAAATTATTTGTCGTGTGTTAATGAAAAGACACGGCCGAGTTTTAGAACGCGTTTGAGGAGATTGTAAGGCTCAGTGTCATATTTTTAGTTGCAAAGAGGATCGCTCATAAATTTACTATTTATTGAACAAAATTACATGTCTATACGTTTGTTCCATTATCTAACTAATAAATATAATATAATAATAAATATTATTTTAAGAGAGACAAAGTTGGAATAGATATGTACATATATCTATATATATGTATGTTGTGTACGCGTGCGCGCGCGCGTGTGTATATTAATACAATATCACGGAAAATATTATTTCCTTATTTTTCTTATTAATTTGTGCATCAAATATAATATAGATCCACCAAACAATTGAAAGAAGTATATAAATGTTTAAATATATATGTATATATCAAGTATTACTATAAATTATAAACTTTCTACTGTTGTATGTTTTAAACAAAACAGTTAATAATTCTGAAATATGTGTACAATATCGTTATATTAATCTTTAATATTATAGTAACTTTTCATTAAAATTTCTAATTTTAGTTTACAAGGAATTAAAAATAGAAATTAAAAATAGCACACCAAGGAGCATATATAAAAAGTGTCTCAATTTTAATTCCAAATATCTCAACTCCCGCATGATCAATTATTTTCTAATTGCACAAGCAGGTAGACGACATTTCAATTTATATGCAACGCAAGTTTCAATGAATTCCGAACAAACTCACTTTGCTTTACGACCTCCTTAAATTTAGCCGGGATTGTGAGACACGTCCATCACGAGACGGCAGTTTCGGAGGGAAGTAACTTGAAGAGGCAGCACTAATCAAAAGTGGTCCGCGGAGACAGATTGAGGGGCGTGCGTGAAATAAATCAGTCTTTTGTTTTACAGCCCTAAAACGGCCGTTGGGGATGTATGCAGCGCGAAGTGACGTCCATTCATTAAAGCGCCCCAGCTGCGAGATCGAAAAGGCTCCCGGCGCCGATTCAACGACTCCGTTGCAGCGCGATTAAACAATCGGACATTGTGTAAGCGCCGTTATTTACGATGTGAGCTTATTTATTGTTATTATCACACGCGCTATGCAAATTTTATCGTACGCAGATTGCGGCGCGTACAATATTCCAGCCAGACTGCAGCGACTCGAGAAAGGATAAATTGAGGATAAATATTTTGAGAGAGAGGTTATTTAGTGGCCGAAACATCATTGTGCATGGAAAGAAAATTTCAGTTTAGTGCAACTGAACGGAGATCAGATGAAAATACGACCGTCTCCATCAGCGCGATCCAAAGCATTCGTTTGAATCAGAGTTGTATAAAACTACAAATTAAACTCCTTTCAATTTAACGATTGATTTGAACAAACGTGTTTCTATTCAACTAACTGACGATCGATCCAAACAAATTCAATCGAAAAATATTTAATTGTTTTCAAGAGAGTGATGTGTTTGATTTTAAGAGAGTCCACAGTAAAATAATCCTCCTGCATCGTCTTTTTTTAGGATTTTTCTACTGAAGAGAGTGTAGATGTTTGAGTAATTACGTTTGAGTAATTCTTAGAGAGATTTATTTGGAATCCCATTCTTTATTTTACGCATAAATTAAGTGCAATTTCTTGGTTTACGAATTTTGTCAACTTTGTTCGTTTGGAATTGATTGTGCATCTGAGAGCCTTGATGGTTTAATAATCCGTTTTCAGTTATTTCAACCGAGTTTCAATACAACCGCATGTTCAGACAAACATTCCCAGTCATGGAATAACAGAAATATCATTTCACCGTGTTTCCACGTTCAGTTGGATCAGCTGAGATTTCTTTTCCGCATGTAACATTACACGAATTGTTTTCTTTTTTTTCGTGTTTTTGAATCCCAGTCACTTTACGTCACTTATCGGCGCGTTAAAAACGTAGCTTCCGTTACGAAAAGCAAAATTGACTCGCGGCGATAACGTATCTAAAGGCATGCGAACGTCGGTTAGTACACGGAAAAGAGATGCTTCGTGAGGAGACGTGCACTCTGACACGGCATCCCGCAGATACGGCTTGTCCATGTTGTGGTCGTTTGACGTTCGCCATCGTTGCTTTCTATCCGGCCCAGCGCGAGAATAGTTATCGCGCGAGTGCCACGAATAGTCCAGTTCGCGAATTGTCATCACAATCGCGACTGCACTCGTCGAGTTTTCCGCCGCGGTGCAAGCAGCGCGATGAGAAGCAGCCGTGAACGCTTGACAGTGGTGCAACATCGCAACCCTTGAAAAGTCCGATAAGGATTAATAGAAGTATATGGAAATTTCATTTAAGTACTACATGACTTTGTGTGAAATTATAATTTCTATGGGAAATTTCAATTTCTCACATTTCAGCTCATACAAAAATGTTATCAGTTTCTTTCGTCTGGTACCGTTTTATACCATAATTTATTTTTTACGGTTTACGGTACCAAACAACTGAATATTTATCGATTTAGTGATTTTATCATGTTTTATCAAAAACGCGATTCAGTTACAGAGATGTTTCTTACGTAATTCTATCAAATATTTTATGCAGCGTAATGACAACAGGATAGTCGCGTGTTGTCACTACATAAACTTCATGGAAAAATCTGCACGCGATAAATCGCTCGTTACTTACTTTAATTAAATCCGCCTCGGACACTTTTATCGTCCAGATAAGATTGAGTCGGACATAATTTACTTCGTAATGTAAATTTGGAATTTATCCGAGAGACATGAATCTTTCGAAAATATTTTGTAGCATAATCGTTACAATGAGAGCAAATCGATTTATGCTGTTGAGGAGACTCTAGCGTTTGACCAAATACAAGATAAACTTACAATATGTACATAATACGAAGACTTACCGAACTAACAATAAGTAACTGGAATTTCGATGATCTTTGCTGTATCGTTTTCGAGATATTTAGATCTTTCGATGAGAATACTTGTGAGATCGACAATATATGAGTGAAAAAATGGCAGCACATACATACATATAGCGTCAAATCTGAAATAACCTATCATAATGTCATTTCTATATTTATTTCTATATTTATTATTCATTTCAACATGATATTTATGTATTTCCAATTAAAATTCAATGAAATTGATCACTTATTAAATACAATAACAAGTATAGTGGATTGCAAAACGATTTACACATAATACAGTTGGAAGTTCACCAAACTGTCAAAACTGAGAGTCATTATCGATGGACTTACGTAATAATAATATAATTAATAGTATAATTAAGAACACTAAATAATAATAATTAATTATTATTATTATTGTTAATATAATTATTGAGCAAGTCAGTAATGTCTCTCAATTTAAACAGTAAACCTTCAACTTCATTGCGTCTAAATCGTTTTACAATCTACTGTATACTTTACTGTCCATTTCATATACATATTTCTTATAATTAATATTAATATTAAATCACAGTGTCTTACAACTTACTATTATATTGTCACTTTTGAAATATTTAATTTAACGTTTAAAATAAAGAACGATTGCGACATTTACGAATGTAATCTCACTAATATCGTTGCAAAATCATTTTTTAGACATTTCAAACAATCTTATTAACAAAATACTGATTGAAACTAGAAAATAGCGCTAGAAGCTCCTTTGATGAGGAGGAAGAGATTCGTCGGGGAAATTGCAACTTTATTATGCATGATATGCGATAACAGCTTCGGCAAAATCAGTCGAATCGGATCAAATGAACCGAATAGAATCCGGTCGGATGCGATTTATAAAAATCCATAAAATGAAAAAACCTACTTGCGCTCGGCCATTGTTTGGAATTTATCCGACAGACGTGAGTCTCTCGAAAATATTTTGTAATGTAATCGTTCCAATAAAAGCAAATTAATTCTGTTAAAACAGATGATTGTTCGGGTTAATTGCTACTTTGTACCGCGCGATACGCGATAACAAGTTGGCAAAATCGCTTGTCAGAATGTCATTTGGTGTCGGATAGAGTACGGCCGGATTTGTAAAAATCCACACACTAGTAAAATGCAAATTTTCCAAGAGAATAATCGCGGAATTCAGTCGCTCGCTTAAGTCGTGATTGTTGTTTATGTCTGTGTATGCGTGTGTATTGTGGGGGTAATACAAAGTATACATGTATACAACTAAAAATAGCACATGGCTATAATCTAAACATTGTTAATGAGATCTTATGAATCATACGCGCTAAATATAGAAGAGAACACATTGGACATACATACATGCCATAATTCATTTATATCTGACTCGTCTAATAGAACTCCGCGTATCAGTTCAAAAACAATATTGAAGCATTGAATCTCTCAAACGCAATGCAGACCTGAAATTTCCACCCGTTTGCAGTCCCATCATCGCTGCTAACGAAATAATTACATCACCCATCAACTTCTTTTTATTATTGCGTTAACTAGCTATAACTTACAGTAGAGACAATTTTTCAATAGCTTAATAGTTTAACAGCTCTTATAAATTTGGCAGCATTTTATACTTGCTCATCCGAAGAAACTCGAGATTTCTTTTGACGCAAAAGTGGAGTCTATTCGCCCTTAATTTCACACTGAGGAAAAAATGTTTGGTACTTGTGACTATAATCACATAGATGAATAATTATAGTAAATATAATTATAGTTAAAATAAAATTATAGTACAAATATTATAGTATAAAAATTATAGTATAAATATAATTATAGTAAAAAAATCGTTTTCTTTTTGTTAAATTCTGCTATAATATTAGTGATAATAACTTTGTATGCACGTTATATTACTACAGCAAAAACTGTCAAAAAATAAGAATGAGACCGAAAGTGATTATAACTTTAGTTACATCGAACATTCTTTTCTCTCTTCAGTGCAACTTATCGTAATTACGATCACTTTCATTTAAATTTCCCGAGGGTGGATCTCACTTTCGGAGGAAAGACCGACGGCGTTTCGTCGACGGAGTCCTCGCGTGTGACGAGCGCGTGTAGGATGAAGAAGTGCCGATAAAGTGTAATTATTGCGCGGGCGCGGGTCAATAGTCCGCCACGTTGCTTGGCGACGGTATTCCTACTCTGAGCCTCCGGAACAACCGGCGCGAAGCTCCTCTTCCTTCTCCGACTGCTCCAGACTCCGGACAGAGACTGGCCAGTCTACTGCACGACGCCACGAAGAAGAACGCGAAGACGACGAGATCGTATCTTCCAACTGCTGCGGCAGACTCCTCACGTCGCCGTCGTTATCGTCGTCGCCGTCGACTCCTTTCGCGCGGGGAGCCAGCTAAGTACGATTTCAACTCGCTTCTCCGTCTGTCTCTCTTCTTCTCGATCCACTCGACATCTCGATGTTCTCGAGGTCGCGTCGAGATTTTCGCGGGAAGTTCATACCATGTGTGAAATATTACGGATATCGTGCGAAAACGGAACGGTACGACTTGCTTCGCGTGCACTTCGAACGCACGTTTCCTCAAAAGCGTGACTGCACCGTGCACTTTGAAGTGCGATACACCTTTCGAGTTCCCTCAGATCGATGATCGGAGAAACAAAGTTAATGGAAAACCTACTCTTGCCCACAGAAACTGAGAGCAGTGATATGTGGCGAGAGAAAGACGAGTCGACGAAAAGCGCGCCCACGTCGACGGACGATGAATCGCACGTGGCAAATTGCGCGAGGATCGCGTCTGGGTTCTGGTCATTGTGGTTACTATCGTTCAACGACAACTTCGAGAAACTCTGCGGCTGCAAAGTGAGCGATGTGTTGAGCTTCGAGAAGTTCACACAGCTCCTTTATCGTCCGACCGATCCGGCCAGTCTGGGAGTGGCTAGAGCTCTATTCGGTAAGTGTCTGTTTTAAATACACGATTTTTTTACGAACATGCAGTGTTCCAAGTGCAGTGAAACAAATGTACCGAAATTTAAGAAATGAGACACGATTTTGTGAACAATCGTAATATCGGAATTCAAGTATCGAAACAATCTCCCGGAATGCAACTTTATCTGAAATATTGAAATTGTCTTGTTGTACAGCTGGATGTATTGGTATCTATTCATGCGAGTATAGCAAAAGTGTAGCTAAGTGAATAGAAGATGTTCATGACAAAAATCGATCGATATTAAATATTAGTTTATCTTTGCACACTAGTGCGTAAATGAATCTGCAAAATTCAATGCAATTTTTAAGATTTCTTTGTTTTCTTTTATATAACAATCGACTTTATTAAAAAAAGTGTTAAAGTGAAATTTTTAAAAGTACAAATAAATATCTTACAAGATATTTCATATCTTGTGAATTGAAAAGTACCCGAATAAAATATAAAATATCTCAGAATGTATTCACTTTTCAATGACATTTTAGTTTCGGTACTTTTATATGCAGGATGATTCTAGAAATCAATTTGTGTTTAAAAAAAACATATAATTCCATTAATGAAATTCAAACTGATCTTAAAAAAATCTTACACGTCCACTACAAGGTTAAGCCAATGGTAGTATTATGCATCCTTCTTGAAACTCTAAGAATTTTATCTGAAACATTTTTTTACATGACATTAAGTTTAGGAAATATATATAGTTGTTTCTATTAAAATATAATAGTTTTTCCTATATAATAGGAAAATATATATTATATAATAGTTTTTCCTCGGAACATTTGTATATTTCGGGAAAATTATATTTCAGAATATAGTCTTTAGTACTCAGGTTTCGATCTTAATGTTTTTCAGGAAATTGTCTCTCAATTTCTAAATTTCAAGATTCTGATCTTTCGGCAATGCATGCCCACGCGACCTTTAAACCAATTATCTTCCAGGATAAAAATATGTGAATGCCGTCAGAACGACATTATGTGGTTAACGAATATTTTGTTTCCACTGAATGTAAAAAAATAAAAAATAAAAAATAAAAAATCTAGCTCCACACACAAGCCAAAATTATAAATAAAAAAGTAGATATTGGAAAGGATGTAGGCTTTAAAAATGTTTAACTGGTATTTTGTTACTATCTGAAATGATTAATGTCTACATTTGATCGGCAAAACGGTTTAAAAGAACATTCCGCAAATCTGCGCGCAGACTTGTCGCTGGTAACATACAATTTAATCCTACTCACTGCAACACTTTACAAACGGAGAGTGGAGAATTTGAATCGTAATAACTAGACACAATTTAAGACCTATTAAAGCGGTCATGAGGATTAATGGCTCGAGCCAATGAAAGCACGACCGTGATTCTATGTCGCTCGTAGAAAAAGTGGGACCATGGTGTTTCCCTTTGCTTAAACAATGCCCGCCCTAATTATATCTTAATTATTATTAAACGCTGGAATTACGTAGTCAGCAAAAGCGACTAGCTATTTCATCCGATTCGAATGCAACTCGAATTGCAATCTCACTCGATTCAAATGATACAGATCGGTAAACAATTTTTAATTCGAACAGAATCTCTTTCCTTCTCTCGAGATTATTCACAGACTTTTCGCAATATCGTGCATGAAGAGAAAAGATTGTTTGTATTAAAGTGACAATGACAGAACTAAGTACATTGTCGTTGAAGATAAAAAATTTTCTTGTTCTCAAGGGGAGGTTCGGATTAAAGAATCCGAAAAATAGGAGAGTTTTATTCATTTTCTTAAAAAAAATCAATAAAGATATTCATATAGATTCTTTTTCAAACAATCTATATGAATATCTTTATTCATATATATTCTTTGAAAAAATGTTGTGGAATTTACTATTTTCGGCTATCTAGACTAAAAACTTCCCTTAAGACCTGAAGTTGCTTCTTAAGAACCAGAAATTCTGTTTCCTTCAACAAAGACATATTTAGTTGTGCCATGTTAATTAAGTCAATCTTTTTCTCGATGCCGATTCTCAAGATCTAACACTCTTTTCGCAGGACTGTGCATGGTGATAGACGTCGTTGAGGAGAGAGGGTTTTCGAACATCGACATCAAATGGGGCGACCCATGGGAATGTCACTTTCCGTTGATCCATGGGATGGGGCCACCGTCGCTGCCGTGGATGATAATGTTGTACACTGTGATGTGGATAGGTGCCTTCGGGATCGCTCTCGGTCTGCGCTTCAAGCTCGCTTGCGCCTGCTTCGCTCTGCCTTATTGGTACATTTTTCTGTTAGACAAGAGCTACTGGAACAATCATACCTATCTGTATGGCATCGTGGCGATTTTATTCTGGGGCACAGGGGCGGATAAATATTTGTAAGTAACAATTTGCGAAAGAGAGAGAGAGAGAGAGAGAAATTAAGTGTTTTTTACTCAGCGCTCTAGTACAAAATTCTCTTAAGTGATATTAAAATATGTACTCAAGAATAATAAGAATAACAAAGATAATCGATAATTCAATTAATCAATAATTGAATTAAAAATGACAGAGATGAGAGAGAAAGAAAAAGAAAGAGAATGTCGATTGAATATTAATTTATTTACGTTTCCATAGCGCATTGGATGCGAACAAGGCGAGACACCACGACGACTCCGTACCATATTGGAATTACTTCATCCTGAAATTTCAATTTTTCCTGCTTTACTTCTTGGCCGGCCTGAAAAAGTCCAGCCGAGAATGGCTCGAAGGCTACGCCATGACGAATCTATCTAGACACTGGGTCTTCTATCCTTTCCAGTAAGCTAAATGAAAGCCAAAAATATATACCAAGTCATATATTGTAATGATTGTATCATGCAAAACGAAAAAATTTTCGCCTACTATAAAAGAGAGAAGAGATTTTAAACAGAAAGAACTTTAGGTTGTCCTAACTCGAATTCGAAATTATTCTAGTCACGTAAACGCGAAGAATAGAGAAAGCTTTCATTGAGGATTCATGAATCAAAATAATATTCTTTACAATCAACTAAAAACGAGAAGAGCCAAAATGGAAAAAAGATAAGAAAAGAAAGCGATGGCGCAAGATATAAGTTGCGAAACTCCATCAATATACGAATAAAAAAGGGAGTTTCAAATAGTCCTTTTTAAAAATTACCCAAATTCTTGGCCCGGTTTTCGGAAGAATTAGTGACACTTTCTTCACAAATTTGTTTTCAACATGAATATTCCAGTTCATTTCAGAGAGAACTTTCAGATCGTTCCTTCCTTTACCCCAAGAAGTGAATTAAAATATTCATGATTGGTTCACCTTCACGTGGGAGGAACCAAGCCAGAAGCCAGGTCAAGCATTTTGCTACACCGCGAAAGTCTAAAGTATCATTTACCTAAACATTTCGCTCGTTATTCTCTTTAGTGAAAAAATTCCGAAAATGTGATGCATAAGAATTGGTCACCAACTTATCCATGTAGAACACCGGAACCTGAGAGAATTCTTCCGATTTCATGATTGACACGAGAATCATTTATTCATATATAGCGTTACTTACATACAGATCAGTACGACGGGTTGTCTGTTTATTTCGTTGGCAGGCGCGCGTAGTCGCGCGCGATCTCAGTAGATCTGACGGGATACGCGCTTATTTTCCCATGAACTTTACGTTCCAAGTGAGCATTCTATCAAGGCTCATTAAAACCATATATAAAGACCACGCGCGCCTGCCAATAAAACGCATAGGCAACCCGTCGTATTAACTTGTAAATAAGCGTAACACTCTGTATATCTTCTATTAGGTTTTTCTGTCTCTAGTTGATTGCATCAAAGAGCTTTGATAAATTAATTACTTTTTTATTAATATTCTTCTTCTCTATTCTACTGACAAAAACCGAAGATCGATCTTTTGCGTCGACTTCACATAAATTGAATGTGTCGTCAGTAATACATCAACGCAGCCAACGTGTTGTAAAGTCTAATCTACAATGTGCTCTTTGCTTCCTGTTTCCTGTTCTCTATCCTTTTCTGGTTTAAGGCTCAAGGTTTAAGTATCACACAGAAAGAGTTAGAAAGAAAGAAACAGGAAGCAAGGAGCACATTGTAGATAAGATTCAAAACTTATAAAATAAATGCCACGAATTCTAAAATCTCTTCTAAAAGACGATTCTTTTTTATTATAAACGCGCAACAGATGATATGAAGAACGGAAAGTAAAAATGCTTGTCTTTGCAGTTTCTTTCTGACTACTGAGCAGACGGACTACCTAATTGTCCACTGGTTCGCCTTCATCTTCGACTTAACCGTCGGTTTTTGGATGCTGCTCGAGAAGACACGAATACCAGCCATGGTACTTTGCACAGCTTTTCACTTAATGAACACGAGGCTATTTAGTATAGGTAACTAGCACTGGAAATGAACAATCGGCAAGACTGTGTTAATTAGCCGCGAGAAATACAATCGAGAATTCCTCGTATCGCCATTCAGAGGGAACACGGGAGAGACGAAAATTTCACGAAGAACATGCTTCCAGGAATGTTCCCGTATGTGTGTCTGGCGACGATGCCGCTATTTTGCCGCGTTGACTGGCCACGTAAATTAGGTCATTACTTCAACTGGAGACGAAGAGTCTCCGCTGCTGATGTCAAACCAATCGACGAGAATCGCGCGAAAGCAATTGACGATCAAAGGAAAGATTCCACGAGGTTTGAACGTTGCGCGTCCTCTTCGAATGAGATCTTGGACAACGAAACGACACATGAAGGTGAACGACATTTCTTTCTTATTTCATAAAATAATATACATTTTAACGAATTCTAAGCTGGAATGTTTACTTCAATTCTTAGGAAAAGAAGAAGTGAACCGTGATTATTTTACTGGACCGAAATCTGAAGAAAAAATCAACAAGGGTGACGACGACACGCAATTACCTGAAAATTCGATTGAGTCCGGTAAAGAAGAGGACGTGAACGTTCGCGAAAAAATTCCAAGAGCTCAGCGAGCAACAAAAGTTACGAAGAAACAGAAGCTCGTGGTGTCTATATTGCTGTGTCATATCGCACTGCAATTCTTCCTGCCGTATTCGCATTTTATATCAAAGGTATCGAGTTCGTTAATATTGTTTTACTTTACTGTACGCTAACGTTATCTGATTAGTATGAATTGATTAGCTGGGTAATATAGTCCATCTTTGCAAAAAAGTACATTGTAAAAATAAATATAATTTTAAGGAGTAAAATTTATATATATATATATATATATATATATATATATATATATAGGGTGTTCCGCCATCACCGCATTATCTCTTAAAGACGGATTCCTAAGATAATTTGAAGAAAAAATTCCTAATCCAAAAATGTCGAGGCTATAATACTTTTCAAATTATAAACGATTAAAATTAACCAATTATATTGGCTAAAGACATCCAGCCTTATGGAAATTAGCATGACTTGAAAAGTTTGCTATACATTAAGATTTTCTTCAAAAATATTAAAAGAAGATAATAACTTTTAGATAAACTCTTACCGACAATTGTCGGATTAATATGTGTCATTGCGCAGCTTTCAAGGCTAAAACTATATTCCATACACGTTTACCGACTGTATATTATATATCTCTTACCTTAAAACGAATTGATTTCAAATGATCAATGTTATCTCTCTCATACTGAAATCATTATTTTCATGTTGAATTCAATGATTATGTTAATTAAAAATTCTTTCAGCGATTCGATTCGATTCGGAAGAAATTTCATCGATTCGATTCGAAGTCGAAATTAAAATCTAAGATTCGATTTGATTCGATTTGACATTAAAAATTTGACTTTGATTCGCACATCTCTATTATTTATATTATATCATATTTGTATTCATAATTATTGTATGTATTCCAGGGTTACAACAACTGGGTGCCAGGACTATATGGCTACTCTTGGGACATGATGGTACACGCGTGGGACACCGTACTCGTGGTGATCAAGGTGCACGACAACGTGAACAACAAGATCCGATACTTGGATCCTGAAGCGTGGGTACAGAGCAACCGATGGGTAAGACACGCGGACATGGCGATGCAGTATTCGCAATGCATGAAGGTAAGATTTCAACGACCTGAGCGAGCCCTGAAGCAAACGCGCGATTGCGTTTTATTATTTTATCAGAGAGCTCACGAAAATTCGCCGGATTTTCAGCGATATTTCTTCTACTAAATACTTCTCTCAGATTCAAATCCGTCTTATCGTATAAAACGTTGTCCACTATATTTGATCCATTATATTTGATTCGCTATTCCGCAGGATAATCTGATGCGCCGGAAGAAGGAAGCGTTGAGCGACAATCGGCAATCCGAGGAGATGCAGATGTGGATAAAGCTGTCCGCGAATTTGAGCATCTATATAGACGTGTGGTGCTCGTTAAACGGCAGATTTCAACAGAGAGTGTTCGACCCGCGCGTCGACATGCTGACAGTCGACTGGCATCCCTTCAAGCCGGTTTCGTTCCTAATGCCATTACTTACGCAGTACAACTCATATCGGTATCTAGTCACGATCACTAATTCCAATTGTTGCACGTGAAAATTGTAAACCGCATTCAAAGGCGACGCCGACGATTAAACTCACTATTGATTGAATAATTGACGCGTCAGCCGCCAAAGTATCATCGATAACGCATTTCAATCTCAATAAGAAGAAATATAAGATGTTTTGCAGTAATAAATGGTTCTAATGGCTCTAAAATTGGATAAATTAAAAGATATAAGGAGGACACAAGAGCCAAAGTGCTGATGTGGTACGCTAGAATTTAATCACGAAAATCAATTACAAAGTGAAACAAATGATTTTGTGATTAAATTCTAGTGCACAACATCAGCACTCTGGCTCTTGTGTCCTCCTTATATCTTTTAATAAGATGTTTTGCTTTTATGCTTCATTATGTCATGTAAATTTCAGAAAAGAAAGCTATGTGTTTATATAATAGTTGGACGGATTTCAGGTACGAAATGGAGAAGATCTTGAAGCACGTATACACCTGGTCGAATTACACGGACGTGCTGTTCGTGGCCGATTTTCCGGGCATGCATCTGGAGAACTACATATCCACAGACTTTACGAACGTCTCTTTGGCAGTGCTGGAGGGCGAAGTGACTTACATCGACGAGAAATCGCCAGACTCGACCACCGTACTGAAGGGTAGATCGATACCAGTAAAAACGGGAATGTTTCACCGAGTAAAGACGACGAGCTCATGTCCAGCGTGTTACATGTACACCTACACCAATCAGACACAACAATTGAATAACGAAAGGTGAAGACACGTGTCACTTTCGTGTATCTCGCTTGCGGTCAAGTCTTTTCGCGTGGTTCTTCAAGAAGGAAAACGTATTCAAAGGTTTGATTTTTTTCTCGAGGAACCGCGACTTATAAAAATTAATTTTCCTTAAATAAAAACTAAAGATACCTTCTTATGTTTCATTTGCACGAGTTAAATGCATCACTGGTGAATGCAACTAGCGGCCAAAAAGTTAATCATTCAATAATGAAGATATTCGATAATAAAATAATTTAGAATTCTTTGAACGAATAGAATAAATAAAACTTAAGATTGCGGGTTTTTATAAGTTAAATTGCAAATCAGTCAATCGGTTTCACAATTAGTTGGCCGTAGTTATGTGAGAAAAATCCAATTCACACAAAGTACGTTTCGAGAAAAATAAGGATGAAAATTTGATGCGTGATTTAAAAAGTGTTGACTTAAAAACAGTTAGCACTAAAATTCTTTGTTCAAGCATATTTAATTTTTTTTTTTAAGGATATTCATTGACAAGTTTAACTCTTGAAAAAGTATTAAAAAACTAGTAAAAAATAATGCAACTAATAGAAAATAAAAACTGTTCTTTACTTAATTTCAAGCGCCCATCTCAAGGCTTGAATCTTTTTTGTTTTATGTAGAAAGATGTATGGACTCTAAAAACTCAAAAATCATAATTTTGTGGATTAGATCATTTTTGCACAGCCGTCCCCAATTAATCTCTGATGCATTCATATCTCTCTTTTCATTTCAGAAGAACGTCTACTCCGATACAAACAAACGACACGCAGCCACTATTGAAGGAAGTTAATTACAAAATCACTACATGGACAAGAACGCTCTCTCACATAACGAATGCCTTCTTTCATTTAGTATACGACGTTCCTATGGTACGACGAGTGCGCGTCAGCAAATAATACGAGTCATTTGAATCTCTTAATTGATCAATTGAAGAAAGAAGCTGGAAATCGCCTATCAACATCTCATCGGCGCGCTTGTTAGTTTCATTGAATATCTTTTCGAAACTTTCTTTTGCTTTTTAGAATTAACGTAAGTCAGACTCGACTATACCGAAGGGCTTGACAATGTGATGTTTTTGAAAAATGAAAGTTGCCTTCATGTAAATTTATACATGTTTTATAAAGTATCGTTCGAAAAAGAGACAGAAATATTAGAATAAACCGTAAAATATTTCTCAAGCGACTAACACAGTTATTTTTTAAATAGTCGTAAAAATATATGCAGATATAAAAGAATACGTATATAAAGGATACATAACATTGTTATCATGAACAAACAATAGTATGGTTATTTTTATTATTTTTCTAGCTTACGATGCAACCGTATGATATGTAAAATCTAGTGATTCACATGATTCTTGTCGTGAATCATGATGTGATAATCTATCGTAACTTATGAATCCTAAGGAAGAACTGCTAATTTGTTATAGAATTAATTTTAATATATGATTTAATATGTCAGTATACAAAAATAAACTGTCACATACTTTATACATTATTTAAAAAAAAATACGATTTATAACAATATTTTATATAAAGTTTGAGAGAGAGATGTCCCAATGCCTTAATATATTTAGTGATTTATTTCTTATAATTCTGTGTGTATATGTGTGTATCCCACCTTTCGAGTCCATAATACAATCCAAACAAACTTTCCAAGGGACGTTCTGAAGACGCCCTGAAGACGTCCTGAGGACATAAAGACGTCTCCAAAACGTATACAAGACGTCGCTTGGAGACGCGTCTCTGTCTGGGAGAATGAATACTTTGATGTTAAACAAAACGCGCGCGTATTCATTATACTTTAAAAGATAAAAATTTTATAATATTAATGCACCAGATTAATATCACAATATAAATTAGGTTTTATTACGCTCGTAATTAATCGTATTAATTATTTAATTAACATTATCAAATAACATATAGCATATATATCAAATATTACCAAATATTATTGTATATAAATATATATGAGAAATGATAGAACTAACGTATAAAAATAAATATATAATTTCCTTTATGATCATTTAACATATATAGCAAATTTTTAACAATAATATTTACAATAAGCAATAATATTACAATAGGACTAAACAAACTCAAGACAGAAATTGAAGATCTCTAATCTGTCGTTGAATGATTCGTTGAATCATTTTTCTTTTTAAGAACAGTTAGTTTTTAATAACACAGAATATCGTGTGCAGAATGTTATTTCTTAAATATACATTTTATTTGTTTCGGTATCTAACAGTTGAATTTATCCGCCAAATCGTTCGACGCCATACTTGTATTGCAACTGCTTCACCGGGCATTCCGTAATACCCATATGCGTGCACTTTCTACAATATACATAACACAAACTATAGATAAATGCGCATATTAAGCATATTAAGAAATGCATATGCATATTAAGGAATGCAACTCTCGCGAGCTGTAGTAATCGCAGTGGCTATTCATGACGTCACTGATACACGCAGCATACTGCTTGCTAATAAAGGAGCAACTTTTCAACACTGCTGACACTGGCTGTGAATAACGGAACATAGCTAATAGAAATCTAGGGAGTAACGGAATAGTTCCGATCGAAATTTATTCCGAAGAGTTCCATAATGGTTTATGCACAAGAAACATGGCAGCAAGCCGAACTTCTATCTCTTATGAAAGGACGGCAAGTTGATTGGTCGTGTCGCTTCTTGCCGCGCAGTAAGCGTTTCCACGTGCGTTTTGTGCAAGGACTATATTCCCCAGGGGCTCAAGGATCCAAGAGCCCAGGAATTATATTTCTGATGCATATTCGAACGTTAAATACGAAGTTCTTTTTATTCTAAATTCTATTTTCTTTCATGAAAATTCTATATAAGATTGTTTAGCTTAAGAATCAGAAAATTCGAATGCGCATCGAGAACAGCTTCCCTAGTAATGAATAGCGAAGTACACAGTCTCTGATTGGTTTGACTTTTAGATCTTGATGAAATCTGAAAGTATATACTAACCAGATCCAAGAACTCACTGACCGCTCAGTGAACGATTGGACATTTTTACTATTTGGACATTTTTTTCTCGATGCAATTTAGAACGTAAACGCTGGTCTAATAAAAAAATTTTATTAATTTTTAATTAATTTTTAATTAATTTCCAAAAAGTTACGTTTTTTGAAATAAATAATTTGCACAAATTATTGCTTTATACTTCCATACGATCAATCTATTTGAAAATTTGAACAATTAAAATGTAAATTAGACTCCGTTCGAAATACCTGAAACAATAGAAATAATTTTAAGTTAATTTCTGAATTGAAACATAAACTACTTTTAATAAAAAGTAAAGTCTTTTTGTAGAATAACATTACTATAATATTGAAATTAAAAACAAATGACAAAATGCAAGTAAAAAAATTAACAAAATTGTTGTTAGAAAATGCAAATTGAAAGAGACAATGAGAAAAAACAATTTAGCCTTACGGGTCTACAAGAGCCGAAAGCAAAACATGATTTGGCTTTGGAGACTTCGTGCGGCGAGAACATGAAACACCGTTCTGTGTGTAATTATATGTCCATACACATACGAATACTAATGCAACGCTCACGCGGACGCAACAACTGCAAGTTAGTGCAGCTGGGCTACACTTTCCGTAGTAACCTGTAACTTGACATATTTTGCTTCATAGATATTACATTTACTCACCAAATAATTTTTTCTTCCTTATATTAATACTAAAGATGAAAGAGCCAATTTTGCAGTTAGACCCTTAAAAATTTATAATAAATTAAAATATAAACTTGTACTGTGTATGTGTATTTCAATCAAATGTTCAAATAATTTAGACTATTTTTGTTTCGATCTTTTTTCCCAAAAAACGCTCTGTAGTACTCTTCGGATTTTTATTCTGGTTATAAATATCACAATTATATTATTTTCTCTGTAGCTCAAAATTTTGTAAAATACCAATGTTAGTTCTGGAATTTCCGCGAGAGGTCTTCTGCAGACCCTTAATTTTAAGAGGCCTACTTAATCAGTTGGCTCTATCCCGAACAACATAAACATTGGACGAATAAAGAATCTACAGTAGTAAATTATTAGCTAACTAATATGTGCTACTAGGGACAATAAGATATACTGAGAAAGTGCATGAAAAGTGCAAAAGAACTTTTAAGAAATGTTTATGTGGACATGATTCTTAGTCTTACAAAACTAAGGTGCAAAATACGCATGCACACGCAAAAGCTAAAGAGATAAATCGTGATTTTGAAGTATACAACTAATGTATACATGGTATAATAAATTTAGAGTATCTGTATATTGTATTTTCTTTTTCTAGAAAATTAAACTAGATCTTAACTAAATAATAAATTATTTCGATGAAATAATGATAATTTGACGAGATAATGATGATTATTTCACTAATGAAGCAATACCTCAAGAGGAAGCACTTGTATTATCTGTACTTAAAAGGCAGAAGTATGGAATGTTTAATATTTGCCAACGCTTCTGTAAGAATCTCGAGGTAAAAGTTCATTTTTATGAAAATTTGTGCCAATTAAAGACTATGTAACGTGAAAGATTACGACTTTATCAATTAGATCAAACTGCGAGTGAATTGTTCTTAAAGACCAATTCAATTTCCCGCAACATTATAGATTCGAATAAATGTAATGTACATAAATTTTAATATTTTAATAATATTATTTCTTTTTTTATGTAGCTTTCAAAAATCAGTTGTATGAAGATGCCAAACAAGAGGAAATTTTGAGATCATTAATGAAGTGATGAACTAGAACATCAGATTATAAATGCAAATACGGCACTACGAAGAAATGGTAAATATATTTCTATCTAACACTTTATAGATATTACATGTTAGATACGTGAATTTTTGTACTTTCTTATATTAGTAATGAATTTAAATTGCAGAAGGAAAGAGGCAAAATTCAGAAGTGTCCGCTTTGACTAGAAGAATTGGCTGATCTTCACAGTTTGTATACACATTTTAAATTTCTCTCTTTCTCTCTCTCACTCACTTTCTTTCTCTCAAACATAAGATTTTAAGATAAGTTTTGGCATATTTTATTGGCATTCAAAAAATATAATTTTATCTTTAGCTTTTTCACTTTAGCTTTTACGTGTGAGTTTATTTTGCACTTCGGTCTTCTCTTTTGTAAGGCTAAAACTCGGTTGCAACAATATTTTGATTTTAAGCGAGATTTAAACATGTATTTATCTTTATTTTTCTTTCTAAATAAATAAAGAGACATATATTTAAATCTCGCTTAAAACCAAAATAATCTTGATGCAACCGGACTTAAAGATAATTGTCAGCAGTTTCCTTAAATGTTCTATTGTACTTTTGATGCACTTTCTGCAGCATATGTTGTCATCTCTAGTAGCATATATTAGTTAGCCAATGATTTGTCACTGTAAATTCTATAATCGCCCAATACTTTGTACTGCTTGAGATAGAGCCAACTAATTAGTAGGCCTCTTAAAATTAAAGCTAAATTATTTTTTGTTATTGTCTTTTTCAATTTGGTATTTCCTAATAAAAGTTCTGCTAATTTTATATATCTTTTACGCATTTTGTCACTTGTTTCCAATTTCAATATTATGACCATAGAATCTTACAAAAAAAGAAACTTTACTTTTTATTGTAAAATCCATACAGCAAAAATGTCCAAAATATATTATAAGGATATCCTAAAAATATTGCGACGTCCATAGGAGAGACATTCATAAAATGTTAAGATAAATATATTGGCATCCAAAAATTAATATTTTTTAACTTTACCTTTTTACCTCAAAAGTAGAATTACTCGATCATTTTAATGATTCAATTCTTAAACAACTTGCGCAATTTTATTTTTATTTTCTTATATTCTCTTTTCTCTTAAAAAAGCAATCTTACTTTGAATCTAGTTACTTTTTAAAAGTAGATTCCTTTTGCACAAACCAAAAATCTTCCAGTACTTATCTATGAGAGAATACGATATTTAACTGAATAATATAAGATATTTAACTAAAGAACATTAAGTTTTATATTTAATTCTAGTACTAATAGCAATAACTATAAAAGAGCGATAGATTTAATATAGACTTTAGATACTTGGATTTGATACAGATTTTAGATACTAAAGATACTTGGAGCAAATATTCCTCTGTGTCTTCTCGTTAGTTCCTCGAGAAGCTATACGAGAGGCTATGCTAGCCTCACTTTGGTATTATAAGAATAATTATTCAAAATCAGATTCAAAATTTAACAAAGTTCCCAAGCTTGTCAAAAGTGACTAAAGTTAAAATATCACACTTGAATTTATTTTAGTTCAACTTGTTTGTCATTGCGTTATCCATAATATTACACGTCACAGTGTCTGTACATATAATCATTCATACAGTGTAACAATATTATTAAATAAATAGATTATTTCTATAAGAAACATTTCAACAAACTTTATTAACCCATTCTGTGTACGAAACAACTATGTATATGTGTGTGTGTGTGTGTATGTATGATAAATCTATATGTGCTACACACATCTACACTAAAGGTAACCACGTTAGACATACAGCTATGAACAGGCATGCATACACAAAATAAATGTTCCATATCTCGTGTACATGTAGATTAAGTCAAACTGAAACACAAAATTCCTCTACCATTTTATAAACAACTAAGCAGGATGTTAAGTTATTAATTAAAGAAGATTAGTGAATGATTATGCGCGATATGACAGATGTGAATTATGAAAGCGGCGCTTGCCGTTACTTGTAGATAAGGTCAAACTGTCAAAAATCCTCTTTTTCAAAAAACGACGCAGATTTTTTAGTTATTAATTAAAGAAGATTAGCGAGCGATCGCACGTGATAATGCACCAATGTGTTCTTTAATTAATAACTAAAAATCTACGTTATTTGCAAAATAATAGAGGACATTCAGTTTGATCTAATCCACAATCATATGATAATATATGTCGCGTCTATCACAACTATCTACGTGATTATTTGTCAATCTTTTTTAATTAATAACTCAAAATTTTACGTTGCTTACAAAGTAGTAAAGGAATCTCTCATTCAGTTTAATCTAATCTACATGTACACGAGATATGCGACACTTATCTCCAGATAGCCTGTATATTACCGAAGCCACCAATGCTGTTCGATGCAATCGCAGAGAAATTGTTTTTCGAAAAGATTCCTCGATTCCACTCTGTCCATCGATCGATATTCCGTCTCTTAAGTATTTCAGGGAAATGTATGTAAGTGCATCTTGCAATATCAATTATGAATCCAACATCAATTATGAATCCATTATGCATCCAATCGAGTGCCGTATCAAATCTATCGCGAGCGCACTTCAGGAATGTACACATACTGCTGCTTACTCTTATTTATCTCGAAACCTCGAAACCCGCGAGGAACGCGACATTCACGCCCGAGCGACAACAAAGACCAAGTCAGTCGGATACATGGTTATTGTGGTTCCCGCGAGGTCCATCGGAGCGGAGAAAAATATTCAACCTTGACTGGAGAAGTTGACCGCGGTCAACGATTTACTGACTAAGGAGATGTATGTCTTTTTGCACCACGTCACTGTGCCGCGTCGTCCTCACTCTTTTCGTAAATCGGCCGGGACCGATCGCGGAGGCTCGACGACGATGACGAGTCCGTGTTCAAGGTAGTCCGGTTGCTCGTCCTCAAAAATCCAACTTTACTACCAGCGAGCGGGTGCCAGTTTGGTCGGCGCAACGTGGGGATGCCCCCGCGAACGCTAACGCTAACACTTTCTCGCAGGTATATACTGAAAGACACATACTACGTTTAAGTGAATGTTATTTCTCTCAAGTATTTCACAGGTTCATATATCCGCGAATTTATCATACTCTGAGAGACATTATCGGATAAAAAATTAACAAACGAATATTTTCGATAAAAATTTTTATATTTTATCAGAATATCTGATTAAGTTCAATCGAATATTTCCAGTTATAATGGCATTTCATCAGATAAACCGATATTTCTCATCAGATGTTTCCTGATCGAATAAAAAAATTCATCAATATTTTGATCGGAAATATCCGTTTGTTAATTTCTTATCAAATAATTTGTCTCAGCGTAAGCTCATCATAAGTATCGAATTTATTCAAAATACATTCTGACTCTATTAGATTTAGTATTTCAAAAAAATTATTAAAAGAAAAATTCGGTTTGCTTACTAGAAAAAACAACTTTTTTTCAATAAAGTTTTACAACATTCTTGTAAAAAGAATAAATTCTTTTTTTGAGTACATGATAATGAGTTTTTCTCAAATTTGTGATAAGTGCACTGAAAAGAAAAATATTTAAAAATTTATCTATGAGATATATAAAGTTAATTCACAGAAATAAACTTTATGTCCTACAAATATAAATTTTCTAGTATTTTTTCTCAGTGTAGAGTTGAACTAACTTTTTTTATAAAATTTTATAATATTATAAAGAGAATGAATTCTGCTTCTGAGTGTACGATAATAAACTTTTCTAAAATTTGTGGTGAGTATATTTTAAGACTATTGTTAGGAAAATATTCGTGGATGAAGATAACTATTACTCAAAGGAAGGAAAGTAAACTTAGTAATCGCTTCTCTTAACAATAGAATAATACTTTTCTCCGTGTGAAAGCGTATTAAAGCGCGACGAATAATAATCAATCTATAGATGTACGCCATGTCGTATTGTCGCAAGAAAATTAAAGAAGGAAAAACTGAAGTTAAAAAATTAATAATTTTTAACTTATGTAAGTTAATTTTAAATCAGCCAACTTATAACTTCAGTCAGTTATTTTAAGACGCATTACCTTTAACGTAATAACTTTTAGTTAAAGTAATTTATAATATAATAAATTAAAATAAATCACCAATACTGTAAAGTCAAAAAGAGAAAATCAATCGATATAATTGATGGCAATTGACCTCGAAAAGTTTCAAGGTAATTGCGTCACGTAATTTCCGATTGTACTCTCCGACGAGAGGATTCGGATTTTCGGGAAGAGAATGACAGGAAAAACCCGAAATATTTTGTATGACAAATGCAAGGTTCTCACTATAAAGTCCAGCAATTCAATCTGACGCAAATTCCCGTCGCTTCTTCTGCTTGAGTAAATACGGATTCTTGCATGACAGAAAGAATGCGACCCTCGGCGTTAATTGCAGAGTAATTAATGGTCACTTCGGGGAATCACTTTACGCACAACTTAATGGACCGGTGGACTAATGGATGGATGGTCAAGAATGCTCTCGCTGTCCCGCAACGCCTTCTGATTTGCATTCTAGCGATGACGGAAAGGCGCAGTGCTCGTTAATTAAGATGACACACGGAAACGTGAGCGATGGCTAATCTCCATTCATAACACTCTCCATGAAGTTGTAGTCGCGAGAAAACAGGAATTGTTTTTCATAGAATTCCGTTGCAAGAAAACAGAAATGTTTTTCCAATTTCGTTATCGAAGTGACAAAGCTGGAAGAAGTTTCTCTTGAGAGAATCTGTCGAAATAAACTTATCTTCCTTCCGCCGAAAAGGGAACACGCGTTAAAAAAAGAAAGAAAGAGAGAAATTCGTCGATGACGAACTCGCCCCGTTATCATTCGATCTTTAGCAAATACATAAAAAACATTTAAACGCTAAGTATATGCGAATGAATAAATTTCAACAATGTTACCTCTACAAAAATCCTCGATCGTTCTCGAGTTTGAGACACAGTTAAGTCAAATAAATTGTGGAGCGTGGCGTGATATAAATGTCAGGTTAGGGTATTCCCGAAATGTTTGCATATTATGTGCAACTCCTGTTCGATGACAAGTCTCTGTTTTCTCTCTGTATAATCTCTGACATAATTCCTCTCTGTAGACGTTCCGACAATTCCGCATACCGGCCTTCTCTAAAAAGATGTGACTATTATGATTAAAATCCGTTGATTATCCGCGAATTGCCTCGACCGAATTTTTCGACTTGAGCGTAAACACGTCCAGACGCATCATTGCCTATAATAGCGATGCAAATGTTTATTGCTTAATAAAAATTGCATAATGTTAACCTCACGGAGATGCTGGCTCACTTAATTTATTGACCGAGTTGTCATTTCGCGAAGTCCTCCTTTAAATGAACACGGCAAACAAAAATCAACTTTCACTCAAATAAGACACAGGCAAAGTCTGTGGGCGGATATTAGGTCAGGGCCATTGTTAAACGAACAATATGAGACCTTGCGACAAAATCATTTACGTAACGACTACTCAAAAGATGCGTACCCATGTTGCCGAAGCTTTCGCGATCCTGCTGATCTTCGTGGTTAACTAACTTGAATTTTATGTTGAGCCTCTTTTTCAACCAGAATTGGGTGAGTCGATTTTTTCCTTTCACTGAATTAAGTTTAGGATTACATAGACAAAAACTAATGTAATTAGAAATTGAGTTAAAATTAAATTACTCAATTAAATTAAATTACTCAAGTTAAAAGTTGATTATTGAAAGCAATATATGTTTGTATCTTCTATACAATTATCTTCTTAATCGTGGGTTAAATTTAGATAAAATAACGGAAAGGTTGTATTGTACAAAACAATCCAACTCTTTTGCGCTCACAATTTCGTATTGAAAAAAATACTTGAAAAAAAACTTATATGTAAGGTATAAAGTTTGTTCACAAAAATAAATTTTATACTCGACAAATAAATTTTTAAGCATGTTTTTCTCTGTGCGTATAAGAAAAAACGTGACATTCAGAGAAACAAAAAAAATTCTACTGGTATTTTATTAATTTGTTTTTTACATTATTAGTAGTTCGTACTGACTTTAAAATATTGGTGATTTATTTTAATTTATTATTATAAATTATTTTAACTAAAAGTTGATAAGTTAAAGATAATACGTCTTAAAATAATTAACTGAGATTAAAAGTTAACTCACTTAAAATTAACTTAATTAAGTTAAAAGTTATTAATTTTTTTAACTTCAGTTTTTATAATTCTTTAAACTCCGATTTTGTATAATTCTGATTGAACTTTTACTACCCAACTCTCAATACTAAAGAACAACCGTTGCGAAAAGTGAATTGTTCTTTGTGAATTGTTGTTATTATTGTTAACATTTTTTACAAATTTCATTTTTACAAATCCATTATATATGTAAGGAAACGCGCTTTATGCAATAATCCCATATCCATTTATTTAAATCAACCAGCCGTACCAAGGCGTGCTTCTGATAATTTCATAAATATTCAGTAGTTATTACATAAAAATGTATATCTTAGATACTTTTGTGCAATGAAAAAGCACGCTGCGAAAGATCAAGCGCACTATAACCGAACCTGATACGCGACGTCGTCGAATGACAAGGACAATAGTAAATCGCCTACCACCTGTCCAGCGTTTCTAATTCAATGACCGCAAACGGTCGGCAAGTCATTCCCGTCCAGGGATATTTTTTGCCCATAAAAACGCCGCAGAATTCGGAGAACCATGATTTTTATCCCGCCGCTCATTATTGTCCCTGATTGATCGCCCGAGAAACGCCTGCAACACGAAAAAGAAAAACAAAAGCTCATCTTCTTAGAATTCCTTTCGCGGCAGAAGCAATACCAAGAAGCGCGTCGTTAGAACACAATTAGATGAATATTAAATAAACATAAAGCATATCCCAAATTCTTAAAGACTTCTTAGAAACGTCTAAAAACACGTCCTATCTTTTTTAGACGTTTTTCAGAAATTCTTTCGTAATCTTTTAGAATTCTGTACTGTCTAAGAGTTTTTTTTGTGTCAACCAAGCATTTGGTTGTTTAACTTCCCAATCTTTAATTATTCGCTTGATTCACTATTATTTCTCAAAGTTAAAAACCATTTTCCATTGCTAAAATTCGAGTAACTCAGCTGTGTCCCTCAAAATTTCGAATAAAATTTAACTCCAAGAAATTTAAAGAATACAAATCGTCACATTGCTCTCTAAATTTCTTGAAATTTCACTCGGAAAGTAGAGTGAATTGAGTCACTCTAATTCGAGTCATTTTTCATTCATATAGAGTGAATTTTCCACTCTGAATAGTCAAGTGAATATTTTTACTTGAAATTGAAAAATCAATCTGATGTACTCTATTGTCACAGCAACATATTCACTCTAATCGAATAAAAAATTCATTTATATACAGCCAGAATTAACTCTGAACTTCAACTCTGAGCGGAACATTCACTCTTATTATTTCGCGATTTGTAAATTCCGCGATATCGTAGCGCAGAGAAGCGAAACATTTCCTTTCCATGATAAGATCGGCAACATTACAAGGTTTTTTTTGTATAAGAGTATTTGAACATTATTTCTAAGATAATTTTTAATGCTAAACACAAATGTGCCAAAAAGCTTCTACCACGTCCGGTGTTCTATATACAAAAAAAGTCATTTTTACGATAACGAATTTTTTATTGAATTTAGAAAACAAATTGAAAGTATTGAAAGCATTGAGAATTAAATTTTTGTTTTTTTTATATGACTTTGGACCGGTTTCGCGCATTAGTGTCCAGCAATAATCATCTAGCATATTTTCGTCTCAATATCTTTGATAAAGTTCTTCAATTGTCATCAAATTCTGGTGAGAACCAGATTCGCCTTGCTCATTACTTGTTGCACCCAAATTATACGGAAAGAAATCAAGATATGAGTATAAAAAATGAATTTTGCGCGAGACATACGTGCATTTCTATGCACGTCTATTTCGTTATAATTTTTCAACAGTTCCGCAATAATTGTCACTTTTTTATTTTCTAAGAAACCATGTATTGAAATGATAACCACGCTGCTCATCTATGGCTCTGCAACTATTGCAAAACAAGTGCGGTGCCCGCATCATAGTTATCGACCGCAAAACTAAAGTAACGTAAATAGAAAAATGTTAGCGATTCTGTGATTATGCAGTTCCTTTTCCCGACAATATATCGCCCACAAACATAAAAATAATTTGAATCAGTCTTACACAATCTTCTCTATATTTTTACGTAATAACATAAGAGAACACGTTCGTGTGATATTTTCGTGAAAACGGTGATACAATAACATTGTAAGATAAACCGCAGTGCTGCTAACTTGCTAAATCTACAAAATTAGAGATCTGATGGAATTTTTCTGACAGATTCAAACTCCAAATACGTTACACAAAGTTATTTTCATTTCTTGCACTAAGAAAGTGCAAAATTTGTAAACTAATGTAATTAGTGTACTTCTTGTATTTCTTGCACTAAGAAAGTGTAAAATTTGTAAACTAATGTAATTAGTATAGAGACAGGAGCCCTCCGACAAATCGAAGTATCGACGTGACGAGAACGCGAGGTCAGCTGTGTTTACCGCGAATTTCGCGGGGATCACGTCGCGGTCGTCTTGCACCGCTGCGTAACACGTAGAGTCCTCCGCGAGCCCGAAAAGAAATGAAAACACGGCGTCGACATCCTCATTTGTGGTTCTTTGTGCGGCTCTACGTGCCGTTGCTTGTACACGTCCCCGCCCCGCTCTGTTATGCGCTTTTTATCGCGTTGTCGCGAACGCCCGCGCCCGCGCGCGCACGCGGGATTGCGTGTACCTGGACGCGGACGCGAACAGGTAGTCGGACACGTGTGCGGACGAGTGTGTGGGTGCCGTGCGTGCCCGCGTCTCGAAAACGCGTCGGGCCAGACGGATATATAAGGCCCGCCGCTCTCGGAAATGGAATCAGTCTTCAACATGTTGCGCCCATTGCATTTCGTAAGTGACTCAGGGCGAACGCCAGTGCGCGTCCTCGCCGACCGCGTGAAATCTTCGCCTTCTGCATCTCCGTCTCGTCGAGACGTTCCTCGCCCGCAACGCGTGTGTTCTCGACCAGTCGCGGGTGGAAAGTTCAAACAGCGCAATCGGGAACCGCGGAATTTCCTATCGAAGCGAGCAGGCAGAGCTGCACTGAGAAAAAATACTTGAAAATTTATTTATGGGAGATATAAAATTTATTTGCAGAAGTATACTTCACAGAAAGAGAATCTTAATATATCACAAAATCAATTTTCAAGTATTTTCCCTCTCTCTCTCTCAGCGTGCAGATTCGATACTTGTGATCGTACACTGAAAAAAAAGTCTTGAGAATTTGTTCGTCGGTTATAAAACTGATTTCTGTGGAGTATAAAGATTTATTTCTGTAAATAAATTTCATATCCCACAAATAAATTTTCAAGTATTTTTTCTCAGTGTTGACACTTTCGTTACCGCGTTGGGTTTGGGAATTCTCATAGCTTATAGTGTATTTTTTTATGTAATTCCATAAAACAGACTCAGAGCCATATTTTCATAGTCAAATTTTATATTTATTTTATATCTGAGATTTTAGGTTCATCTTCAGATTCTGTACAGATCATCGCTTTGATTATGGAGTATCTAAAGCTGGACTTAAAATGATCTTAAATATAAGATCTGACTATAAATATCGTCCTTACACTGAGAAAAAAATATTTGAGAAATTTATTTGTGGGATAAAAGTTTATTTCACACAAATAAATTTTATTTCACAGAAAACTTTATTTTACAAAAGTAAACTTCACATATCCCACAAATAAATTTTCAAGTATTCTTTTCTTAGTATAGTTTGTTTATGTGGACATAAAAAAATTATTACTGTCATATCTGAAGATGAACCTAAAGCGATTTTAAATATAAGATCTAACTATGAGCGGTATTTGTAGTCCTATCTTATTTTTAAAGTCGTTTAAGTCCAATTTGAGGTATTTTACAGTTATATACGATGTTGATAGCGAACGCGTTCTCCGCGACACGACATTTCCAATTTCGCAACAATGCGTATTTTCGCGATTTCGACGACAATCGACTAGATCGAGATCTTCAGGACGACTGGTCTTATCGCATTGCGATCGTAATTAAGCACGAATTGTAATTAAGAGGCTCGTCGAACTGATTCCAGGTGCTCCTTCTCTCTGCGTTCGCTTTCCTCACCTTCGCCTCTGCCTTAGAGGCCAAGGAAGCATCCGCTTCCGTACAGAGTGAGATCGAAGCACCGGCTGCTGCGAATGATTTAGAAGCGGACGCCTCTGGCTACTACGGAGGGTGAGTTTCTTCTATTTACGAATCGATTTTAAAATATGCGACACCTGCAAAATTTTCCTTTTTGTGTAATTTTCTTCCCAGATAACAGAAATCTCTAAGAGATCTTAGGTTTGCGCTCATTGGTCGTTACTTGAAGCTTACTTCACGTGAGATACGCACATTTTTATTTAAAGTTACACCCAAGTTATTTAGTTGAATCATATGACATATGTGACATTTATATCTGTACATGTGATTCAAATAAAATGCTCATCTAACTCTAAATCCAAATATGAGTATCTCACTTCAGACAAGTTTTAGGTAACGACAATGAATACGAGTCTTAAACTCGTATTAAGTTACTTAAAACGTATGTCAGATGAGACATTCAGATTTGAATTTAGAGATTAATGTAAGTTTTTAGCTGAATCGCGATACAAATATAATGTTGTATATATTATTTGATTCAAGTAAAAAGAACTCAAATCTGACTCTACATTCAGAACTGGTTATCTCATTTGAGACAAGTTTCAAGTAACAAGTAGTAACTATTAATACAAGCTTCAGGTCTACATTAACAGTTACCATCTGAAACTTATCTCATGACAAGTGAAATACTTGGACTTTTACTCAGAGTTAGATCCAATCTTTCTAGTTGAGTTATATGGCATATGTGACATTTACATCTGTAACTGCGACTCAAATGAAAAACTCTCACCTAATTCTCTGAATTCAAGTCTAAATCACTTGAGACAAGTTTGAAGTAACGACTGTTAATACAAATCTTGAGGACATCTCAAAGACGTCCGACTTTTCGGGCGTCTTTCAGTCGTCGTTTAGACCTTTCTAAGACGCCTTTCAGAAGCTTCCGCTACGTGAGTTCGCGGTGCGGACAGCACGGGGAAAGAAAAGAATTTCAACAAGCGCAATAATCTGCGGAAACAGGATCTTTAATAATTCAGAGGACCATAATCCTCTCAGTGAAGCCCACTTGCGGCCGTGAAGTATTTAAATAGCGATCACGTATTCCGCCGCAATCGGGGATTATTCAACGATCGCGGATACACTTCTTCGCGCGCTTGTGTGCTTTGTATGCGAAGTTCGCGCGACCGCCACGACTCGTTTGCAAAATTGACGATAGCACGCGAGGACGTTCGAAAAAATATTGCACCCACTGTTTCTCGCAGCATCTTCATTTCGCATTCACGACCGCTTTTACTCCCCCCGTCCTGTCACGGATGGCCGCGCATGAATCACGCCGTACGTTACCGTCTTAATTTCGTCAACACGACCGGTCTAACTGATCGCGTGCACAAAGGACGCATCTCGGCGCGACGAAGAACCGACTTCCGATGCGGTTAATTTGCAACGACTTAGCGGACGTTTAGTATGCGACGCGTCTAATTTTGCCCGTGACGCGTCGACCACATGCGCAATCGTATGAAATCTGTCGTCGTTGAAAATTTATACGAGACGCCCACTGCGTGCGCGAATTACCGGATCGCGTAGCAGCCACTCGTTCTTTCAACCCTTTAAGGTCGGACATCGGCCCCCACTGGTAAAGCTCTTTTCTTCGTAAAATGGCCTCGAAAGACTCTTCCGATGAAGAGTTACGTGGTCCAAATCAAGTAGCCCGTCGAGAAATACGATTTTCTGTGAACACATATAATTGTGCACGTTCATAACTATAGTATTATAAAGACAGGATCATTGCTTCGCTAATATAAAATTTGGGAAGGATCTAAAGCGAATGTCGACTACCAAACGATTTATACACATTTTTCCAAATGAAGTTGAAGCAGTCCTACTTGTCATAATTGAGAGACACTGCTGTGGCAATCGGTTATGTCAGAAGCCGAAGTGACGATACACGATATAAGTATTGATTCCTTATTACTCTTGTCTGATAGATAGAAATGTAACAAAGATACTCACGTTTTCCCTGAATCTTCCGTTGCATTTATGACGTCGGATGTCTCATATATCGTCACTTCAGCTGCTGTCACAACCGATTGTTGCGAGAACGCGTCAGCAATGTCTCTCAATTGTGCGAGAAACATAATAATCAAGCGATTATTCGGAACCTCGGTGTAACTAAACGATCTACGAATGCAATTCCAGATACCGACCATACTACGGCGGCTACGGCGGCTACGGCGGCTACGGCGGCTACGGCGGCTACGGAGGATATGGATACGGTAGAGGATACTATCCTGCAGTCTACCGAGGAGGATACTACGGCGGCAGGGGCTTCGGCAAAGGATGGGGTTATGGCGGCTATTGGGGTTGATGCGACTCAGCACCTCCTAACTGAGTGATATCTCATCACTGTCAACAAGTCCCTGGCCTTTCTTACTAATGTCCGAATTCTCTAAAAACACGCGAAGCTTTCGACAGCTTTGTTAGTTCTGTAAGTTTTATCGGAGTCTGCATTGCATAAAAACGAATAAATAAAATGTAAAAAAGAGATACGACACATTCTTTTCTTGCCGACCGACCCGTTTTCGCTCTTAGCGGCACATTGTGTGCGATCAAACACACGTACATTCAAATAAAAGATAGTAAGGAAAGTAAGGAATATTTGTTCAGTGCCCGCATGACACAAAGCATCCTAAAGATGTCCTAAATGACGTCTAAGAAAAGTAGAAGTCTTTGGACGTTTTTAAGATTTCTTCAAGACACACGTGTTGTGTCGATAAGTACTACACGTACAAGAAAAAGCGATTACTTAATTCACTCTTTTTCTTTTAAGAAAAGATTATCTTCGATAAAGAATATTTCCTTGATAATAGTCTTCAAATATCAAATCTTTAAAAAGCTCATTAGCTTGTAATCAAAAGAATTATTATCTTCTTTATAAGAATATTATAAGACTTTATCGCAAAAAATAAAGTTAACTCGACTCTAATAAACCGAATGTTTTGCTTTAATTTAATATTCTTGAGTGAAATGCCAAACTTGCTGAGATTCAGAATGTATCTTAAGTTCGATGCTTGTAGTTTCTGACTTTTCACCGCGGATCTCTTGATTGACAACGTCAAAAATGAGAGAATATACGCTAAAAGTTCTTACAAAATGCATTGCAATAGAAGGATGTTCCATAAAATGACATTTACAATCGATCAAGCAGACTTGTGAAATAGTTCGAACACTTTTTTTTTATTCAAACAATGAATAAATAACCGCAAAATTAATGTAACGCGCAACCTTTCTTTTTTATCTTTTCTTAGAATCTTCGCGTTAATTTTACAATTATTTATTCATCATTAAAATAAAAGCAATATTCAGATTCACAAGTCTGCTCAATCGATTGCAAGTATCATTTTGTAAACATATTGTTTTACATGGAGGAAGCAATGCTTTTTAAATAATACATATTTTCTCGAAACCACTTCAAGAGATCTATTGTTTATTCTGTTTAAATAAAAAAATCTTGATTTAAGTGAATATGTTATTATATACAGTATCTACTGCCTACTTTTTAATCTTTGCTCCTTTTTATTCTTTAAATATTTTTTTCAGTACTAACAACAAACAGTTGAAATTCCATAGAAATGGAAAATGCATCACACTCGATTAATTCGTTGACCATAATTAATTATTGTAATGAGGGTGTTGCGAGAGGGTGTTGATCAAATAAGAAAACGCAGTATGTAAAAAACTGTAATTATTATTAATCGTAATAATATGATTATAGAGACAATTACGCGACTATGTGCACATTAAAACACCTTATCCATATCTTACAAGACCAGCTTCTTGTACACTATATACAGTAACTAAATATCATAGTACTCATTTGCAATATAATAAAACTATCTATATTTATATATATATATTTATATATATATATATATATATATATATTCATATTTATATATTTATATATTTATATATCCACATTTATATATATACACATATACGCAATCATACATAGATATATATGTGTATGTATATAGATATATATAATATTAAATTCATCGTTATTTTTTCTTAGTAACGCTATCGTTATTTCAATATATATATATGCATGTAAGAAACGATTAAAAATTAACCAAATATTTATTTTTCAATTCTGTACAATATAGGCTCTTAAAACTCTGCTTATCACTGAAAAATGTACAATACGGTACGTGTGTGTAAGGTATGAAGTGTCTGGAAAAATCTTTTCGCTCGCGTAACGCATCGAAACGAATCGGCGTCGTCTGTCGGCTCGCTTGTCGATTCCCTCGTCGATCGAGAAATCGAGCGCGACACACGCGCGTCGGGGGGGAGGAGGGGAAGGGACTCGAAGGGCCGCGAAGAAATTCGACCTCCGGAAAGAAATCGCTTCCGCGACCGATGAGAATTTTAAGAGCGTCGACGGGCGCGCAAGTCGCCGACGCTGTAAACAATACTTTGTTTGATTTGATTTTCTGCGCTGCAATAACGAGCAACTAAAGAGTTATGACAATAAAGTGGGACGAAACGCGGTATCGCCAGACTCTCTCTTTCTCTCTTTTCTCCCTCTCTCTCCCTCTCTCCCTCTCTCTCTCGCACACTCTTATTTTCTCTCCTTCTCCCTTCCTCCCGCACTTATTCATTCTCGCACATTCGCGCGCACACATGCACACACTCTTGCAAACTCTCACACACACAATACGCTCTCGTATTCTTTCTTTCTCTTTCTGTCACATTTGTTCTGTGACTCTGTCCTCTCCCTCTTACGACACGCAAGATCGCGGCAAAAAACTGCTTTACCTTTCAATCCGATGCGTATGCATGTCAGTTGTGTGTTTTGTGTGTATAAATATAGGTGTTTAATGTGAATGTATGTGTGCGATCTGTACGGAAGATGATTAATTGATCAATAACTGAACCGACGACGAAGGTGATTACAAGATTCGCCGTTTATAATCTTTCTTATATTAACCAATTTTCTGCGGGCTTTTCGGAGCGCGTGATCTTGAAATCGAGGGAGCTGACAATCGTTCTGACGTTGTATAAATTTTTCGGAAACGAGACTCTGAGACGAGACGCAACTTTTCGTTCTTCTCGCATCTCGTTGTGTTTCTCTAGCAGGGGAAGGAAAACCCGCGAAAATTGTGTTTGCCAACAAAATCACGCCGCGAGCGTTCTTCTTGTAAAAGTGAGCTTTGAGATGTTCGTTCGAAAGAGGCATCGGAAGTCTTTCAGCGCAATCTTGCATTCATTATCGCTCCCTTCTCACCTTTTGAGAATGTGCTCGTCCAAAAAAAAAAGCAACTTATAACACCATCTGGAAGATTCGATTCATACGGTAACACAGCCGTTGTGTAAGCTTCATACCAATTACAGATTCTCTTTTGTCTTAACCGACATACAAATATATACAGTTTCTGTTTGTTGTTCGCGTTCCCTGAGCGCGCGTCGCGTTGCGATTGTGGAACGAAGGCTCGCAAAACACCAAATGCTACCCGCAGGATGTGCGCACAAGGTCCTGAGACCTCCCGCGAGCCTTGCATTACCTGTCGTTAACATATTCTCGTTATGTTTCTCTAGGCAAAGAAAAGAGAACCTGCGGAAAGCTCGGGTAGTTCGCCAACAAAACCGCGAATGTTCTTCTAGAATGACTCCTCAATGTTCACTCGAAAGATATCGAAAGTCTTTCGGTGCAATTTTACATTCATTATTGTATTTATTTCAAGTTACTTTAACCTAACGTGCTCGTTTTTATTCTATTTGGATTTTGCCAAAATGAAAAGACATTCTCTTATTGCTAAAAATTCTATCCGTATCAGAATCTTTCATTTCACAATCGACACGACACGCAGGTCGGGACGAAGGACCTTCCCTTCGGATGTCGCAACAATTGCACATTTCACATACATCAGCGCTCAAGACCACTTCGGACGATTCGTGAATAAAAACAGTCGCGAATGAAAATCTGAAATGTCTCTCTCAGATTGAATCCTGCATCCTGCGGCGCGCGCTGCGAATCGCCCAAGGTGGTCTTCAAGGTACAACAATTTCGACTTTCACATATCGCACACGTCTTATGAACTACTCATCTCGATCACACGGCGTAAACTTTAAATTTAATCATTGCTCGCACTCATATTCGCGGTTACAGACTGGAGCACCCAATCACTGGCACCCCCCACAGTCATTGTCTGCGTTCAACAGAAGCGATATGCTTTGTAGAATACAGAGTGCTTGATAGAGTTAGAAGAATGTATTCATCAGGAGCAATAATCACTAAGCACTCACTTCTGTCGAACAGAAACATTAACACTCTGGAAAAACTTGGACTTCCTTGCGTCCAACGATATCCGTTCAGAGTTTCAGTCGTAAAGATCTCTTTTAAAGTCGCATAAAGTGCAGGCAAGAAGTTCCATTGCATTGGTAAGTCGCAAGTAAAGCCAGATTAGCTGAGGGGGACACGCCAATAACTGAACGTCTCAGCCCAATTGTTCAACAGTTTCTTCCTTGGATACCAGCAATTTCAAATATATCGTCGAGATGTATCCCGAGGAGTACCTCGGAAAGGAAAGCATCTAAAACGCAGAGATATACACAGGTATGTCATTTACGTATTTGAGGGCGTATTCGAGATGCTCGCGTGAATAATCGTGACACGATTGAATTCCGACAATTAGCCAACTCCTACAAACACTCAGACCCTTGGGGAAGCAGAGCTTTATACAAGAGTGTGTCGTTTTCGTGCACCCTTGTGTGCGGATGGATAACTCGATATGTTGCTACAGTTTTCTCCGAATTTCGCCGGTTATACTTGCTTATTTGCTACTCAGCCCGCCGACTCTCGTGAATTCGCGTCGTTAGAAATGTCTCACGAACACACTCGCTATATTACATCTCGCGAAGTCTCCGCTTCAACGTGCCGGGAACGGAATGGAGTTATTCGAAGTTGCTGGTACTAAGTGGTGGCGGTAAGAAGAAGCAGAAGAAGCGGCTAGTCCGAAGACAGGGCGGCGTAATCCTTGCAGGAGCCTCTTCTCTCACTGTCGCGGGATGATGATGATGATGACGACAAAGAAGAGGGTAATGTGAAGTTCGTCGGGCACGAACCCAATGTATACACGCCTTTTACGCGATATCTTTGTTCACAATCTCGTCGAACGTGACACGCGCATGACACGTGTCGGGAAGGAAAAACGCTCTCCTCCTTCGTATTTTATCAATCCCCTCTCTCTTAACGCACGCAGTCCGATCGCACTCGAATACCAATATACAGAAAAATGGCACGCCGCTTCATCAACCATGAGTATTTTATGCGCATAACTCTCGTTACATACGTGGCGAGATTAAAACAATACGATTGCTTAGTACAAAAACGAAATACATAATAATAGCAAATAGTAGCGTGTGTATATGTGTATGTGTGTGTGTATGTGTGTGTATGGATGGAGAAGGGGCCGTTAGTGTGCGTGTGAGTGTAGTAATAGTAGCGATGCGTTAAGAATAAACGGAGAGAAGGAGGGAAACAATAAGCATTTAAAAACCGTGCTCGGGTGGTTTTACTTCGTCCTTTTTTTCCTTCGGGAGACAATCCGTGGTCAATAAATACAGCATCCTACATTGATCGTTATAAATAAATACACGTTAACCCGCAACAGAGCTACAACGTGAAAAGGGATAAAATATGCAATCGCGGCGCGCTAATAATGACGCGTTGGTCCTATAAAAAAAAAGAGACTATGTAACAAATCGCGAGGCGCGAAAACGTAATATATCTATATATATAACGTGTAAAAAAATATAATAAAAAATATCTTCCAACTCGCGGCGTTCACTGATTCGTCAACTTTTTTGCGGCTTCGCGGCACGCAAATTGCACACCATCAGGCGGGAACGAAAAAAAGAAAAGAGAACGGAAAGAAGAACAGATGGGGTGGGTTTTCTTCTTCGTTGGTTTTTTTCGTCTGTTTGTTTGTTTGCTTTTCCGAGAGCAACAGAGCGACACATCGTGGTGGTGTATTCGCGGCTTTCAACATTCGTCCATTTGCGCGCGAAAAATGAGAGACGCGTGCCGGTTGTTCATCCTATCGTCCTTTTCTCGATTCTTCCATTCCGTGTACGTGAACAGCGCGAACGGATGTGCTCCGTCTTGAAAATAAAAGTCAAAAAGGAAAAAAAGAAAAAGGAAACAACGGAAGATGACGAAGAGAGAGAAACGGAGACGCGTGTCCCTTTTTCTCATTTCGCGTTTCACGACCGGCTGATAAATACGCCTCCTTGCCACGATAGTCGATATACAATCGTTCGATCGAAATATATATTCTACGGGGTGTTGTGGTTTATTAAAATTCGTTATAGCTAGCGTTTAAAAATCACGACCTAGGCGGTGATTTGAGAAATATGCCTTTTGTACAAGGTAATTTTACGTCGCCGACGTGGATGGCCCGCTAAGATGTCGGCCCTTCCGGCGCACAAGAAGAACATAGCCGTCGTCTTGGTAAAGACGAGCCCTGATGAGAAATGCTGAGAGATGCAGCGTGCGTCGATTTGTGCTAAACTCACGCGGCAAGGTCGTCGCGTTGACAAGCGTGGGAGATGATTTTTGAGTGTCGTACATCAACGTCCTGTCGAAATTTCTCTCAGGCGAGAATTCAACGCGAACTCTACACGCGTTCCAATAACGCGAGACGCGACTCTTACGACAAAGTATAAAGAAACATTGTGGCGTTACTCTAAATGACTATCAAAGCAAGAGAAAGTAAGTGGCGCGGTATCTGCGGATTTCTCGATGATTTAGATCCATATTAATAGTTATTACTGTAAACTTGTCTCGAGTAAAATACTCAAATTTGAATTCAGAATTGGATGAGAGTTTTCCAGTGAAATCGCAATTACAGATATAACTGATATGTGTGTGTGTGTATATGCGCATACGTACGTACGTATATACATACATACATATACTCATAAGTACTTATATATATACATATATGTGTGTGTACATATATATATATATATATATATATATATATATATATATATATATATATATATACACACACATATATATATATATATAT